ATCACGTTCAGCCCTCTTCAGTCATCTTTCCTAACTTGTCTCCCTGTTTTCACTTGCAGTGATACTTGATCTTTCCCACCCCACTGGGATCTCTTCACGGCCGCCTTCAGAGACCAGTCATCCTTACATTCCCCAGAGAGGCAGTGCTGCATACTCATCCAGGGCATGAATTTTAAAAGCAAAGAAGCAAATAGGCGTCGGATATTTTCATAACACCTTGTGTGTTAGAGCCCCCTAGTGTCCAACTAATGTCTACTGAAGCTCAAGTTCATGAGAATTTGAGCAGATTGTCGAGGGAGCTATGTCTGACTCAATCCTTTTCTCTCCCGTCGCTAAGACTCACTGGGAGAGGAAGGGACAGCAGCAGGCATGGGCGCGTTCATTTCCTTGATGGCAGCCCTCTCGTGTGCCAAAGCCTCCTCATAAACGCTTTTATTTTACTCCAGTAATGGGGAATAAAAGCATCCTATTGATTCTGAAGTAGACACTTTTCATGTTTTGACATTTTTGGGAGCAAATCGCATCCTGCTGTTGCCGCCTCATTTCTTATACTTCAGCTGTGTGGCAATTTTGGGATAATGGTCATTTCCTGCACTCACTTGGAAACTTGGCTACAAGCTTCTCTGGTGCACATCAGTTGAGTTGTGGCATTTGTTTGCATCATTGCTTGGTTGTGGATGAATTTTAGGTCATTTCAGTATCTTCAAATATTAACCATTTTATATGTGCATGTATAAAGTCATGGACCATTATCCTTAAAAGGAGGCAGGAAGATCACATAACAGGACATAAATTAGTGCAAATTGTGATGTTTTGCAGAACATGTTTCCATACTACAGAGAGAAACAACCAAGTTGTCAACAATACCCAAGAAGAAGGGAAGACGGTGGCACAGTCTGGGGATCTGGGTGTTCTTTTTTTTTTTAATTTATTTATTTATTAAGGATTTCTGCCTCTTCCCTACCACCGCCTCCCATTTCCCTCCCCCTCCCCCGATCAAATCCCCCTCCCTCATCTGCTCGAAGAGCAATCAGGGTTCCCTGACCCTTGGGAAGCCCAAGGACCGCCCACCTCTATCCAGGTCTAGTAAGGCGAGCATCCAAACTGCCTAGGCTCCCACAAAGCCAGTACGTGCAGTAGGATCAAAAACCCACTGCGATTGTTCTTGAGTTCTCAGTATTCCTCATTGTCCGCTATGTTCAGCTAGTCTGGATTTATCCCATGTTTTTTCAGACCCAGGCCAGCTGGCCTTGGTGAGTTCCCGATAGAACATCCGCATTGTCTCAGTGTGTGGGTGCACCCCTCGTGGTCCTGAGTTCCTTGCTCGTGCTCCCTCTCCTTCTGCTCCTGATTTGGACCTTGAGATTTCTGTCCGGTGCTCCAATGTGGGTCTCTGTCTTTGTCTCCTTTCATCGCCTGATGAAGGTTAATATTCATGAGGATGCCTATGTGTTTGTCTTTGGATTCACCTTCTTATTTAGCTTCTCTAGGATGGCGAATTATAGGCTCAATGTCCTTTATTTATGGCTAGAAACCAAATATGAGTGAGTACATCCCATGTTCCTCTTTTTGGGTCTGACTTACCTCACTCAGGATAGTGTTTTCTATTTCCATCCATTTGCATGCAAAATTCAAGAAGCCCTTGTTTTTTACTGCTGAGTAATACTCTAATATGTATATATTCCATACTTTCTTCATCCATTCTTCTGTTGAAGGGCATCTAGGTTGTTTCCAGGTTCTGGCTATTACAAACAATGCTGCTATGAACATAGTTGAGCATATACTTTTGTTGTATGATAGGGCCTCTCTTGGGTATATTCCCAAGAGTGGTATTGCTGGATCCAGGGGTAGGTTGATCCCGAATTTCCTGAGAAACCGCCACACTGCTTTCCAGAGTGGTTGCACAAGTTTGCATTCCCACCAGCAATGGAAGCCTCTCCGTCTCTGCGCCTCTCCCGATCTGGGTGTTCTTAGGGAGATTTGCTCAGGAACACAGTTTGTCCTGGGCTCAACAATGCTACTCAAGGTGGAAAAAGATGTGGCAGCCCCACCAAATAAATGCTTTTAAGTCAAGCAGCAATAGATGGTGTAACCTGTGCACTCACTGTGAAAGACCACCAAGATGTCCATTTGCCAGTGCCTTCCTTTTCAGTGTGTGTGTATGTGGCCATGGCTGTGGGTACGTGTGTGTGCAAGCAAGCACACACATATGTGCACATGTGTGTGAAGGTCAGATGTCAACTTCAGGTGTCATCCTCAGGAACACCATCTGGCTCCTCTGACACCTGTTCTATATTGGCCTTGGAGCTCACCCTCAGGCTAAGCAGGAAGGCTACTCCGGGGATCCTCTTGTCTCTCCTCCCCAGGATTGTGTGGTTATTACTGTTTACTCTTCTACAGATTTATAATGAAAAGGAGCAAGCTGAGCATGGAAAAATACAAAATGTACATCAGGAAGTGGAATGGAGCTAAAGTCCTATATTCAAGATCAACAGATTAAGAAATGGAATAAAGGAAGAGGTGACGTCAGGGCAAGATCCTACCCAGCTAAGTTTCCAATTTGTGAAAAGGAACTAAAGAAAAGCTTAGAGCTGGGTGCAGTGGGGCACACCTTTAATCCCAACACTGGGAAGGCAGAGACTGGTGGGTCTCTGAGTTTGAGGCCAGCCTGGTCTACAGATCCGGCTTCAGGATAGCCAAGCTTAGGAGAGTGAAAGAAACCATCACAAGCAGAGTTCGTGAAGATGGATGTAATTGAATAAAGGGCCACTTCCAGCCCAAGTAAGCTGCAGAATTTGGCAGCTTCAGTCAAATGGCTCTGGAATTAAGGATAGAAGAAAGGGGCTATGGACTTTGCCCACACCACTAAGGAAACTGCTGAGGTCAGATATGTGTCAGAGGTGTCCCTGAATGGAGGCCTAGAGAGGCCATTGCATGAAGTTGTGAAATTGAAGCCTAGGTTGCCTTGGAGACCCCGAGATGTTGGAGAGGCCAGAGTTGTGGGATACCTGCCAAGGATTGATGCTAACGGGGAGTGGAACCAGCCCAAGAGAAGGAAGTGTGTTGCAGTCAACAAAGCTGAAAGGAGTTGGAGATCTGAAGAGCGTTTTGACATCGGACATGGAGATGGAGAGTTTGGAGTTTGCCCAGCTGGTTTTCAGTCTTGCTTTGGTCCAGTGTTTCCTCACTATGCTCCCTTCCCTATGGTTTGGAATGGTAATGTGTATCCTGTGCCTTTATATATTGGAAGAATGCGATCTGTTTTTTTTTATTTGTATCTATAGGAAATTCCAGTTAATAGATTGCATGAATCTCAGAAGAGACTTTGAACTTTGGACTTTAAATCATTGTTGAGATTGGGATAGACTGTGAGGACTTTGAAGTTGGACTGAATGCATTTTTCATTATGATATAATTATAAGCTTGTAGTGGCCAGGGAGTGGAATGTGGTAGTTTGAATATAATTGGCCCCCATAATCTCTTAGGGAGTGGCACTGTTAGGAGATGTGACATTGTTGGAATAGGTGTGACCTTGTTGGAGGAAGCGTGTCACTGAGGAGGCGGGTTTTGAGGTCTCCTATATACTCAAACCTTGCCCAGTGTCTCAGTTTACTTTCTGTTGCCTGTGCAAAATTTCGAACTCCCAGGTGCCTCTCCAGCACCCATCTGCCTGCATGCTGTCATGTCCCGCCATAAGGATATCAAACTGAATGAACCACTGAACTCTAAGCCACCCAATCAAAAGTTTTTCTTTGTAGGAGTTGCCGTGATCATGGTGTCTCTTCACAGCAATAGAAACGCTGAGACAGATAGTGTATGCAGTACATAATATTAACATGGTAAATACCATTGAGTTCATAGATGCTGATGTTCGCAGAAAACAATGAGGATAGAAAAGGAGGACTCAGGATAAATGTCTGCTTAGATTAGATGGAGACTGTGTGCTCTGTGGAGAAGAGCATTGTGGGCAACTCCAGACTGCTCTAGGGACCGATGTCATATCTCAGCCTTCATCTTTGTAAAAAGCTTCCGACCAAACAGCGTGGCCAGGATGCCTGTGATGATCTCACCTCTCTCTCTCTCTCTCTCTCTCTCTCTCTCTCTCTCTCTCTCTCTCTGGGCTTCTCTACCACATGGTTAGGGTATCAGGTACAGAGGTTATGCCTGGAATCACAGACAGGGGCCAAGGATAACCTGCTTCTTATGATTATCTAGTGCCCAGCCAGCAAAAGCTCAGATGCGAGTCAACTCTGGCGTAGAGCCAGTCCCCAGACAGCCACCAGGTAAGAAGCTGATGTCAACAGTCCCCATGTCCAGGTTTTAGTGTCTGTCTGCTCCCCACATGCAAACATCAGAATAGTCTTGACTGACGTCTAGTTTGACACCAATAAGCTCTTTATTGTCTTTTAATTCAACTTTTCATTTCACTGTTTATCATGAAAATGTTCCCAGTATATGGGGTTGGAGAGATGATTCTATGGTTAAGAACATTCGTTACTTTTCCAGACAACCTGAGTTCAATGCCCAGCACCCACTTGGTGGCTCACAACCACCCATAACTCCAGTCCCAGGGGTTCTGACGCCCTCTTCTGCCCTCCTCAGGCACTGCACCTGCATGGTGCACACACAGACACACATACAGGCAAACACCATACATGTAAAATAAAAGTTAAAAAACTTTAAAATCACATTAATTCATTTGTTTTACAATTATGTATCATTTACTTATTTTATATTTATTCACATGGCATACATGTGGAGGCCAAAAGGCAGCTTTCCTTTTACCATGTGGCTTCCAAGAATCAAATTGAGACCCAGTGGCAAGCTTCTCCAGCCACTGAGCCATCCCACCAGCCCCATGTGGCATTCTATTTGCACAGCTACTCTGTGTGTATTTTTCCTTTATCTTTTGTATTAGGTTTTATTTATTAATGTTGTGTGTATGTGCACCTGTGTGGGCATGTGTGGAGGTTGGAGGAAGTTTTTAGGAGCCGTCACTCATCATGCAGACCCCCGTGATCAGGCTCAGGTCGTCAGGGGTGGCAGCAGGCTCCCTGACCCACTGAGCCGCCTCATCAGCCTGTTTGGGAAGAGTCGAGCCGGGTAGTCAAGGTTGATAGAAACCACATAGAGAAGTGAGAAGGAAATAGTGAGCACACTTCACAGGAATAAGAGGACTCCACAAACTGCATTGAGAAAAAAACCCATTTTATTCACAGGGTACATTTCCAAATCTTCTCCAAGGAAGGGAGGTAGAGAAACTGAGACTTGGTTCGCCTTCTCACTGCCAGCACGGTTCATGAACACACCACAGAAAAGGTATTTTCCCAGTGACCCTGCTCGGGACATCTCCACTCATCTCAGCCACCAGATAGGCACCACTGTTTTCAAGTCACGCCATAAAAAGTACCGGTTAAACTGCTTTTCTGACCTGCTACATTTTTATATAAAATTCTTAAAAAGAAGAGAAATGAAGAGCATTGGGTTCCCACACTTCCTTTCTATCAGTGAAGAGCATTGGGTTCCCACACTTCCTTTCTATCAGTGAAGAGCATTGGGGTCCCACACTTCCTGTCTATCAGTGAAGAGCATTGGGTTCCCACACTTCCTGTCTATCAGTGAAGAGCATTGGGTTCCCACACTTCCTGTCTATCAGTGAAGAGCATTGGGTTCCCACACTTCCTGTCTATCAGTGAAGAGCATTGGGTTCCCACACTTCCTGTCTATCAGTGAAGAGCATTGGGTTCCCACACTTCCTGTCTATCAGTGAAGAGCATTGGGTTCCCACACTTCCTGTCTATCAAAGGTGGCTTTAATAGGAGGAAGGCACTCTGTAAACACTTCAAAGGTAACTTCAATTTTATAGTCTGATCTAAAAGTCTTTCCCAGAATTATCGTGGACCAATAGGCAGTAGGTGAGAAAGAATATTTAAAATTTCTTATTTTTACTCTTACCCAACCTCTGAAAATATACACTGATAAAACCACTTGCATACATGTGGAATAGTCTAGAATGAGCAATGATAGAGGCTAAAGGTAAAAATTTTTCCCCAATATTTTGCAGATCAAACTATGCTGCGTGATAACTATAAATCTAATAATACAGAATCTTTTAAGATGAAGCAGGCTTTAGAATAGTGTGCTGTATGTCCTTCCTCTCCCCTTCTCATAGGTAGTATCTCTCTGGTGCACCAGCAGTCACCCTAACTGGAGAGAGAAGACTGTCATATTGAAGACAGAATGGAAGACAGCAATAGGTTGGATCATTGCTTCCACGAATGCTGGAGCTTTCTGGAAAAACATTCTTAACTCTAGGAATTTTCTGTAGGTATCACCTAAAAGACTTTAGAAAATGTTCCACAACTGAGCAAAGGATATGTACACACCATTATCAGACTTCTCCAAGGCCTATGCACTATCAGGAATTTCTATAAAACAGTCCCATTTGCTACATTTAAAAGGGTCCTTGCTGACGATAAAGGTACAGGTTGGACAGACATAGAAACATCTGCAAAGCAACAGACACATGGAGTATGTAAGAGGAGAGCCAAGCCAGGAAAAGTTAAGGCACCTTCTGCCACTCCCCAACATTACCAAATCATTTCCTGTTTTCCATAGACATAAATAGCACAAGGAAGGAGAGAGGGACAGAGGGAGGGTGAGAGAGAGATTGAACTAAAACACGAAGGATAATAAATCTAAGTTGCTGTTGCCTCTTTTGGGAATCATTGTGGGGACCGGAAGCTAAGACTAACTCTTGCTAATGTGCAGTGTATGGTGACCATGTCCAGCAGTCAACATCAGAGTGACATTAACCACCATTGCTGCACCATCTTGACAGAAGAGCTAAATTAGAACTCACCTTGAGAATATAACTGTAAAGAGAGGTGACAGAGTGATGTGTAGGTGTTTACTTCATCAAATTCAGGCACCCAGGAGGGTACTTCCTGGAGAGGGCAGGAACCTGGGGTCTTCAAGACTGCCAAGATCCACATGAGAATACAGGTACCAGCTTAGAGTCTTCCCTGCAACAGCCTCGATATCCATTTTCATGGTACATCATCTTTTCATCCTAACCCTAAAGATGACAAGGCAACACACTTCCTTTCTGTTATCTTGAAGCCATTCTGTTCTTGCAACTGCATTGTAAGACAACAACTCCTTGTTTCCTGTCTGCTGAGCTGCCTCCTGAGGCTAAGACCCTTCCCAGTAGGTCCTTTGCAGTGGAAAAAAAATCACTATTTTCTCTTAGCTTTTATTTCAGTTACATTTTTTCTCTATTCCATTTTTTCTTTCTATTACTGTATAGAGAAATCCAGAATTCTGTGAACACAGTTTTCTCTGCTTTGGATTTAGTTCCATCACTTGGCGTTTACTGTTAATGGCATGAAACACACATCTGAAAGTGACAGGAACCTGGAGGAAATCTAGTTACACGGAAGCTAGAAGAAGCACGAACTATATTTGGATATTATACCATTACTCCTGGACAACTCTGCCTTAGTGGTTTAATCCCAACAGTTTTAACTGAAAAGCGAAACCAGGAAGGTTTTGAACACATCAGTGAGACTGAAAGTCTTGGTCAGATGAGCAACCATAAAAAGTAATTCCTCTCTTGTGGCCTAACAAGTGAGAGTCAAGGGCTTTGGCTGTTACTCAAGTACTCACAACATTATAACTCACTTCAATATGCCTGTTCCTCTGTGTTAAAGGAAAAGAGACTACAAATGTCAGCAACAGAGAGAAAACCCAAACAAGGAAGCAGAAGCGCGTTCCTTCCTTGTTGCAATGAGGTTAGAAAGTACGAAGAATGGTTCCATTCATGTGCACGCGTCAATCATTCATCTCTGGGAGGTACGTGAAAATGTCAAATGGCACATTAAAGCCGAGAGTAAGGCAGATACTATTCATATTCTTGTGTTTGTGTACATGCACATGTGTGTGTGTGCCTGGGAGTGTGAGGGATGTCTACAAATTTGAGACCCTCCCACTTAACAAAACAGGAACTGTATAGGGCTGAGAATAAACCCTGTGGTCTCACAGTTAGTGGTACACACTCTGAACTTCAGAAGTCCGTGGTTTCAAAGAAAGCAGAGGAACTGTGGGGTATCTGATCTCTCCCTAGCTTCAGGGACTCAGAAAGCTCATCCATGTGCACAGAGAAGAGAAGTCTACTACTCATGATCATATGTAACTGGGTCAAGGTGATCAGACTCTGCCACAGGGCACCCAGATTGGCATGTGCAAGCTCATAAGGTGAATGCTCTCAGTGCACTGGTGACTATTTTTTTCATTAGATATCTCCTGACAAGGATTTGCCAGCAAAAATTCAACAAAGTTGATATTTTTCAAACACAGAAATTTAAACTGAAGATTGGCACTACCTGAACATCTTCCTTTTGAGAATTAATTCTCTACCTTTATTAAGATGTATTTACTAATTATTTGTAGGTATATGGTCCCACTTTCATGCAGCATCCATGGAGTGCAGATGAGGGCGCCAGCTCACCTGGACCTGGACTGACAGGCAGCTCTGCTCAAGGACGTGTGTGTGTGTGTGTGTGTGTGTGTGTGTGTGTGTGTGTGTGTGTGTTGGAAACTGAACTCAGGTCCTCTGCAGGGGCAGTCAGAACTCTTAAGGGCTGAGAAGGCCCTCTATCTGCTCCCTCCCTTTGGCGAAGTCATAAAAGTGAGCAATCTAGTTTAGGTACACAATTTTGATATACTTTTGTAGAGCATTTAATAGTGGCGAGCACACTGGTCCAGGGGTCATCTTCCGTGGAAAGGGCTTTCAGGTACAAGCTTTATTTCTGGTGGGATGACTTACTCTTCACCTGGCATAATTCTTACTGAAGTGTGATTGAAATCAGATAGCAGCCATTCTTGCTCAGGGACTTGAGAACCAAAGCAATTCTCCAGTTGCAGTTGAGTAAAATGAGAATTCCTGCCTGGGTGCTCATGTGTAGTCTCTGCATCCTTTTCCCCGTGAATCAGCAATCTTACTTTTGTCTCTGTCTCTCTCTGTGTCTCTCTTTCCTTCTCTCTCTCATATGAATTGCCATGCATGCATACATATACACATTTAAAGCATTGGCCTAATTGTTGGTAGGGAGGGGTGTCATCTCTTGCAAGATGCACTGAAGTCAATTCAGTGTTTTCTATTGACTATGCCCATCATAACCCAAATCCCTTCTGTCTGAAAGTAAAAGGTCAAATATGTTAAATAATGGAACAGGCCCAGAGCTGAAGGCCTTAATTTCGAGAAGTAGAATTTAATAGTCCCCAACCTCTTAAAGGTAATAGAGTACTCCAGAAGGTTCTAGGGATGATTCTGAAGAGGTTTCTCCACAATTATTTAAAAATAATGTTAAACACACACACATAGTTATATATACATACTCAGAGAGACACCCATTCAGCCACACCTACCTCTTGCTTAGCTACATCATCTAATCAAACACACATAAAGTTACGTATATGACATATGCACCTATGAATTGTCACTATAAAATAATGGAAGGTTGCAGCAATGCTGTTCATGCCATGAACATTACACCTGTGTCCTAAAGGGCAAATGGCACAAACAAGCTTTTCTTTTGGTCTAACCTGGGGTTTCTTAATTTCCACACCACTACCGTTTCTCTAGGCCATTCTTTACGGCAAGTGGCCGACCCATTGCTGCTGGACCACCGTCCATGGCTGTTCCCACTGCAAGCAGCTAGCATTCCTGGTCATAACAAGAAAATGTCCCCAGGTGTTGGCCTATGGCCCCTGGGAGGGAAGGGCAGTCATCGTGGGTGAAAGCACAGCTCTACCTGACGGTGTTGACCATTTCTGCTCTGCAGTTCAGATGCCAGGTAGACTAGCTTTACAGCTTGTAGACGAAACCCATGACTCCTACGTGGACCTGTTCCAGGACCTGCAGTGAGCGTTCAGACTCCCAGAAGCCTTCTCCATGAACTGGGATGTGTGGATTTTATGAGCTTCTTGCTTAGATTCTGACCAGTTCTGAAATGCATTCATCTGACTGCACATTTAATTAATCTTTGTATGTGCTGTTTTTCTAGGCCTTTTATACTTTTAATAAAGTCTATTGGTAGAAATTCATTCTTTCTTAGGTAATTATTAAATACTAGTCCCTCAAAACAGGGATTATATTAAGTGTTGTACAGACAGGACTGACACATTTAACACTGCCTTCCTGATAGCCTGGAGCTACCACACAAGATGGAAACACCAGGCCAGCCTGCACAGTGGTGAACTTCCCAAACCTTTCATTCTCTAAACATCAGTACAACCTGTATCAGTTCAAATGTTAATTTCTAGAGTAACCTGGATATTTGATCACATTTGGCAACGTGCAACTCTTCCATAACTTTGATAACTTGTAAATTAGCATTCATTGTAAAGCCCCCTGTTTTCATAGACGTGGTCAATATACTAAGTTCACACCTTCAAAGTGAAGTAGTGCTTGGGGGTCAGTTTTACCCACACATGACAACACTTGAAAGAATAAACGTGAGTTTTCACAGCTCCTTGGAGCCTAACAACCACATAAGATGTCCCTGCGTGTCCCTTACTTACAGTAGACACATTTGGCCGTGGAGTTCCCTTGTGTCAAAGCAGCTGTACCAAGCTGCACAAGCAGCCGCACCTGACACAGAAAATACAGAGCTAGTGGTTCCTACCTGCTCGTTTGCATGAACCAGGTCCCTTGTCACTATGCTCAGCACAAGGCCCATTCATGAGATTTGGGGGGTGGGGGAGGCAGAATGAATAAGACAGCAGTTCTCATCCTGGATTACGTTTTTGAGGGTAAACCTTGCACCCTGTGCTGGCATGCAAACGGACAGTAACTGCTATGCCAGCTCAACTTATGTCAACATGAAATGGATTCCATACGACGTCTCTGTAGCGCTTCCACGCTGGTTATACACTCCAGACCACGCATGCTCGGTTTCAACAGTGACATGAGAATAATCTTTGATTACTTTGTATAGTGTGTCAGAGCACATGTGTTTATACTCATGTGTACATGCACACACATCATCTTGAAAGGGAATATTCATGTGTAAGTATGCATGAGTTACCTTAAAGGAAAATATTCACGTTAAAGAGAAAAGAGCCCTGCCTCCTGGTCTGTCGGCCTCAGAGACTAAGTTCTTACTTCACCTCTCATTAAATGAATACACTTTTGCCCTTTTACAAGTGAATAAAACAATTGTGTGCAGAGTGATTTGGGGAAAATACCAGCATCAGAGTCTATGGGTTGATGTAACAGGAACCTAAAGTTGAGCTTCTCTCTCAGCATCTGGGGTGAGGAAGCATGTCCTGTTATCTAGACTATAAATCAAAGTAATCAAAGATTATTTTCATGTATCTGTCAGAGCTGAGTCATGGCCTGGTGGCTGTAACCAGTCTAACGTCAACAGAGCTTCGTACTAAATAGACCTAAGCAAAGAGGCAAGAAGCAATTCTTACTTAAAACTGTACTAGCGGAGGGGACTGTAGCCAACATAGACTTGTTTTAACGAATCACAAAAATCAGCAGGAAAGATTTTGTAAGTCTACCCCATCATCCACCCACAGCCCTAAACATGACAAAAATAAATAATAATTTTTAAAAAACCTACAGTTCTAATTAATGCCAGTCTCAATAAGACAGGTCTTTTAAAATGACTGCGATGCCACGGCATATTGACTGTTAGCAGTACCCCAGCATCTCCCACATGCTGCCTTGATGAGCCCCTCGGCCTCAGCAATCAGACTTCATCTGTTCCTTGCATATCATCTTCTAGATCTGAACCACAGACACATCATCTGCCGGCATCACCTCCTTGGGATCCCAGTTGTAAATCCACGACACACTATAAGATCTTCCCCCAGAACATTTACTTCTTAGTGTTCGCCAAGCTAACGTCAAACACAAAGTTTTGCTTGGGTTTTTGTTTGGTTCCTATCATGCCAATCCATGACACGCTTTGGCCACTCCTTTTGGAAGTCATATAGAAAACCTAGCAAAAATATTCCCCAGCCCAGTTCTTTCTTCTTCTGGTCCCTAGGAAGTGGGCTCAAGTGATGGCTCCTCACATGGGTCTAGCTGCATCCTCAGCGCACCAATTTTGTGAAGGTACCAGAGTTGGAGAAATTCCTCAGGCATGGCGTGGAAGCCCGAGTAGGGCAAGACATTGTCGTAGTAGTGGTGACTAATGGGCTCCTCGTGCATATTTGCAGAGAAGGGCCAGAAGCCATAGATGGCCACCTCTTCACAGAGGCCTAAGGCTGCGCTGACCAGAAACAGTCCTGTAGACAGGCGCTTGGCATGGATTCCCCTGCTCTTCCAGAACTTTCCAATGCTCCGCAGAAAGTTGGGGTTAGCAAAAAGCACTGTTTGATTGGCACCAACATCTTTCAGTGTGTAATATACACGGAGAGACGGCTCTGTTCCTGTCTTCATAGAAAAAGCAGGCATGTAGATATAGCTATGGTTATAGATCTTCATGTTGTCCACAAATGTCTTTCTGGACCAGAGCAGGTTTTGAAACCTATGGAAAATAAAAGACTCAATCAGACCTAAGAAACACAGACACATCAAAGCCCAGTCACCCCGTCCTCTGATGGTTGAAGTTATCAAACAGAACACACACACAACACTTGGCCTGAAACTTCATCAGATACCCCAACTCATCAGATACTCATCAACATTCCTTAATGAAGTTCTCCTAGGCCAACATCAACTGTGTATTTTGTTATCGCCTGCAATGGAAAGTGACTTAAGATTTGTGGCTTTGTCAAGACTGCTGATTAGGGTGATGTTAGTGGCAAAAACAAAACTGGTTTCCTCAGCAGAAGATTAAAAAGAATCACTTGTAAGACAACTTTTCCCATCAAAATCCCATGTTCCATAAGTCTTTAGTTGGCCAATGCTCTAACTGTAGGTACAAAGGAAAACTGAGGCCTGTTACTGTTGTAGCTCCATGCAGAGAGCTGCCCACATCCCTCTCTGGTGAATTCTGAATTCTGCTTGTCTCTGCTCATCCAGAGCCACCTGTAGAGAGAATCTCTGATTCAAATGAATGCAACTAAAATGTATGGAAGGCCTCCTATATGCCAGACATGAGAGAAAGACAATTAATAGCATGTTTGTGACCTCACTTAACCTTTTATTAACCTTGCATGAGCATGTGCCTATGGGCATACCGTACATTGTGGGGGTCAGAGGGCAACCTCAGGTGTTGGTCCTCACCTTCCACCTTGATTTTGAGATAGCTTTTCTCGGTTTTGTTGTTTCCCATCGTGTAAGCCAAGCCAGTAACGCCCAAAGCTTCTAGGGATCCTCTTGTCTCTGTTCCTCATCTCACTATGGAGCTCTGGGATTATGGATGCCTGCTACTGTTCCCAGTTTTATGTGGTTTCTGGAAATTTAAACTTGGGTCCTCATATCTGCACTCCTTACTTCACCAAGCCATTGTCTCAGGTGAATGCCTCTTTTTAAAAAATTTATTTACTCTTCTCTCATATACTACATCCTGACTACAGTTTTCCTTTCTTCCACTTCTCCCAGCTCCTCTCCCAACCTTCCTTCTCTCCCAGATCCATTCCTCTGTTGTCCATCAGAAAGGGGCAGACCTCCCAGCAACATGAGATAAACACGGCATGACATGTTACAGTAAGACAAGGCACAAACCCTCATATCAAAATGCCTGTGTTTTAAGTCAAGAAATTCAAGTCTGGTTAAGGAAGCAGCAGTGTAACAAACAAAACAAAGTGTTCCAAAAGCCACACTCGATAGATCTACAAAGTACCTTAGAATGCAGAAGGCAAAAACAAATCAGCAATATTTGGAAGAGAGAGTGATGTCTGAGAAAGCTAGAGAATGGATAACCCTTCAAGAGATGTTGCTAGGGAAACAAGAAGAGACAAGGAGCATAAAGGAAGCTACAAGGTCCTAGGCAGGAGCCCACAAAGTGCTGCAAAATTAGGAAGGCTAGCTGTTCCTGGAACGTGGAAGATGGGCATGGTTCCGACTGTGGCTGGAAATGTGGCATGTTGTAAAATATCTTCCATATCTCCAACACGTTGATCTTTGTGTCACCCGTTGGTGGGGAACCCTTCATGCCCCAGTGACTGCTTACAGTGTGCATCACACTTCCTGCCTGCCAAATGTTGAGGAGATACAATTAGGAAGTAAGAGGCTAGCAGCTGGGAGCCCAGATAAGACACTGTGGATGCGGGGTTAGTAAACATGAAAAGCAAGGGGCAGGAGGGAAGGAAGAGGAGGAGAGGGGAGGGGTAGAAAGGAAAGTGGGCAGAGAAGTGTGATGAAGTAGTTTGGGTCTTCTTAGGAGGTCAGTTGTCCTTCTCAGGTTCTCTGTGGGTGGAGCAGCAGCATCTGTGAACAGGGTGAAGCCACAGCTGATAGAGGCAAATCAGGCTTGCACACAGGCGACATTCACGGTGAATACACAATTTCAAAGCACTGTGACAATCATGGTTCTTTATCTTCCAAGAACAAAAGGGACGCTGCTCAAGCCCAGAAGGATGACCTCTCCGACTCCGCATGTCCTTGACCCAGAAGCCGCATGAACCACTTTCCCATGGCACCAGCCAAGGGAGAAGCGATGAGAGTGTTTCCAGGTAGTCACTTACCTTAGAGCAGTGGTTCTCAGCCTTCCTAATGCTGTGACCTTTTAACACAGTTCCTCACGTTGTAGTGATCCCCAGCCGTAGAATTATTTTTCTTACTACTTTATAGCTGTAATTTTGCTACAGTTATGAGTCATAGTGTTAATATCTGATATGCAAGATATCTGATATTCAGTTCTCACAGGCGAAGAATCACTGCCATAAAGCAATCTAAGGAAGCACAACCAATCATTCTCCAGAGTGCTGCCATCCTCTCTCACACAAATTCCCACCTCAGGACTCTGGCTCACCTCAGCAGTGCTATCACGTCTTGTCTTGCCTGCCCATATCTTTGCCCTCCCTAAAATCACAAATGCCTTCCTAATGACGTAGAAACAACACACAGAGGACCTAACTGAACTGTCCTTGTACTTTGGCTCGAATAATCTACAGAGTTCGCTGGTACCCCATCATCTGGAGCTCTGGACCACTGGTGGGCTTTTACATCCATCACTCTGAGTCTGCGAAATGCATTCACTTAGAAGAGGCAATGGGTAATCATCGTTGTCAGTCTGAATGGGTTTATAGTCAGCACGTAACACACTTCTGTGCGTATCTATGAAGGTGTTTCCAGAAAGGTTTGTGTAAGCAGGGAAGACTCACCCTGAATGTGGGCAACACTAGTTCATGGATTTAGGCCACTGGCTGAATAAGAGAGGGAAAGCAAGCAATCCCAGCATCCATCTCTCTTTGTTGCCACGCTGCAAACCCTTCCTGAGGATGCTCGTTCCAGGAATGTTTTCACAGCAATCAAGAGAACTGTATGTGAATGAAGGTGAGCTGGATGTAAGCTGCCTCCACCTGTCTGTCGATGTCTCTTTCTGCATCCCTGCCTACATTCTCTTATCCTCAGCACCTCAGGACCAGCTCTGTGCCTCTCCCCAGAGGCTCGTGCTCTGAGGTGGATTTTCTGACTCTCACCTTCCCCTTCCCCACCTCTAGGGAACCAGTCCCTCTGGCTTCTAGACACAGGAGCTGCTCCATTGGCTTTATTGACCAGTGTTTGGCAGTACAAAATGTGTTTATTCTAAATGTACAATGCAATCTTGCTGCATGGATGCATGTGAAATGATCACTACAACAGGCTAGAATTTAATTAAAAAAACAATTCTTCTTGATATACCCACCCTGAGAGTTACATTCTGTCTCTCATATGCCACCAATCTCCTTCCACAATCTTTCTGATTTACTATACAGTGGCTCCCATTCCCCAGAATTCTGCTCTCCTGGGGAACCGATTATCTGTATCCATAGTGGGGTGTATTGCCATGGGGAATCACAGGAGATGTCCATAATGTCCGTAACACCAGAACATCTGGTTTGACTTCTATCTCCAAACTGATTACTTCGGATGGGGACTGTCATTTCTCTTTGACTTTCAACTTTGAAAATGAGCACCATCTTGAATTTACTACAGTCTTAATTTTCTTCATGTTATCTGTATTTATATTTTGGGATTTCTCATTATCCCATTCTTCCAGTAGTAACCATAATTAAGAACTCAATTCAGAGCCAGTGAGATGGTTCAGCAGGGAAAGGCGCCACAGCCAAGCCTGACAACTGGAGTTAAATTCCCAGAAGTCACATGATGCAGAGATAGAAACACAAGTTGTCCTCCGGCCTCCACAAGCACATGCCACACATTCAGACAGACAGACAGACAGACAGACACACACACACACACACACACACACACACACACAAAGACAAAGTAAGTAAATAAAATGTAATTTTTAAAAAGAGAACCCAATTCAACTCTAATTATTTGCTGTCTAGCTGATGTAGTCAATATTTAATGATCAATAGTTTAACAGTGTTGGTTTTGAATTTTACTAACTTGTTATAAAATTCTATTAGGATCCCAGCCGCTGGTCTCTAGGCTCAGTGTGCACCAGCACACATTTGCCTCACGCATTTAGATTCCCTTGTCCATTCACTGCCCCAGGGATGCTCTCCAGACTCATGGAAATTCAATCTAAACATTCACAGCCAATCCCTTAATCTCACCTAGCCTTTTAAAGGCCTTCGTTGGCTTCTGTGGTGGCTCAGGCCTGGAATCCCAGCACCGGGTGGTCTGAAGGAGGAGGAATGCTATAATTTGGACACTAACCTAGGCCACATAGTAAGTTGTAGGCCAGCCTGAGCTGGAGACTGTTTCTTGGGAAACACAGCACAGTGGAAGAGATTGCTCAGCAGGTTATAGGTGCTAACCACTGAGTCTGAAAACCACAGTTCAATCCGGGGAGCCACATGGTGGAAGGAGAGAATTGACTGTGGCACATGTGCCTCGCTGAACATGTATAACCAATGAATACATAAATAAATAAACGTAGAACAATAGCAATAATAATTAAAAATAGTAAAAAGGTTACTCAATTTCTCAATAAGAATCAATGTATCCATTAAGAGTATATACTCACTGAAGACATGAACTACTCTAATTAACCCTTTGCATTTTATGATCTAGCTCAGAAGAGCTGTGTATCATATATTAAAATTAAATGGAGATAAAACCAATATAGTTTGCTCATGCCTGTAAGCTGAGTATTCAAAGCCAAGAAAGGAGGGCTGCTTGAGTCTGAAGCCACCTGGGAATACACAGAGAATTCCAGGCTATCCTGGGCTACATATCAAGAGCCCTTGTCTCAAAAGCAAAGAACACCTTAAAACAGTGAAAATTAGATTGTTATTTAATGAAAACACTGAGATATTTGGAAGTTTGAGTAATAAAGTCATGCCTCACAAGAAAATTCCATCATAATCTCCAAATGAGCAAGACAGTTAGCAGAAATATAGAAAAAATAACAGTAAAGTGAAATAAAACTTGTGGACTCAGGCCCTCAGCAGAGGAAATTATCAA